CATGTCACACGCGCCCAGGACTTAGAACCTTAGGAGGTTGTGGGTTTAGCGTTCTGTGCTTCGGGTGCAGAGCCTGCTTTGGTAGATTCGACGTCTTACGCAACTCTGCGCGCCACACTCGTCATGTTGTGTGGATCCGTTCGCTTACACCTTCCCTGAGCCCGAATCCGCTCGGCTGCGCCGCGTTGCGCGCTGCCGGGTCGGCGGTTGTTCCTGCAAGGGACCCTAAGGGTCCATATAGGAAGAAGACATAAACCCGAAATCCGTTCTCTTTACAGCTTTTTGTAACAGCATTAAAAGAAATCTTTGCCTTGTCTCTTCTGTGGACTTGATCTAGTAAATATGGACCCTTGCGAGGAGGGGCGCCGCACTGCACCTCGAGAGAAAGCAACGCCTCCACTTTTGAAGGTGGCCATCCTCTGTGCCTGAAGGCACAAGGTTTCCTTGTCGTTTCACGAAGAGGCTCACTCAAATTCAAGACTGCTACGAGCGATGCCAAAAGTGTTCGACATGATTGCCTTGCACACACTCTTGATCCGCATCCAGACATGCCCGATCTCTGATCCAGCCGATCATTGTTGCAACCGTTCTGAGCATTCCGAGCTGTTGCTCTCCCTCGCCGACTCGCCCCCGTTGCAGGGCTGCATGGACACCAACGGTGTCGTGCGGATTACGGGGCGCTATAAGGAGCTTATCATCGGTGCAGGCGGAAACATGCGGAAACTCGACCTGCCGGAGTGATGACCTGTAGCAGTGTAGCATGAGGCCCGGTAAACAGAAAGCTGTGATATTCGTAGTTAGCTAGAAGCGATGCCACCCATCAAGAGCCAGTTGGCGCGGTTCGAACCGTAGAAAAAATCTACCATCAACCACCCCGCATGCCAGGCGGCGAGAACATTGCGCCTGTGCCGGTTGAGGACAGTGTCGGAAGCTTGGCTTCTCGTCGCGACCACTTCAATTGTCATTCCAGGACAAGATCAAGCAACTAGCGCCGGCCCTCTCGAACGCCGCAGGCTCAGAGAAGGAGCGAGGAACAGATCCCCGCTCCTAAACGCCATGCAAGCAAGCAAGCGAGGAACATGTCATGAACAGCCATGACTGGGTGCAACTCAGAGCTGACAGCCACCTTGGTCAGGGGCGTCCTGGCTGCCAATTCTGAGGTCATGATGGTCGGAGACAATCGACGCTTTAACGTAGCAGTAGTGACGCTGTTGGCAGAGGCAGGGGCCGGGGTTGGCTGCAGGCTCCCCCATGAAGGCAAAGCTAAAGGCTTCCCCTGGCCACTTCGTAGTTCTTTCTCTGCTGCAACCTGAAGCACGGGAAGACCGCATGGACCGTACTTGCAAAGCTGCCAGCGGTTCTCGTTCCTAAAATCTCCTAAGCCCCAGCTTTCCCCACTCCCCATTTGAGCGGCACAGAGTAGCAGGGTGCAGCATTACAGTTTCTTCGACTAGTCCTGTGTGTGGCGCCCCGAGCGCGCCGCCAGGGCGCAACGGGTGAACTTCCCGGAGGCGACAACCTCACTGGAGCAGCACTGGAGGCTCGTCTTGCGGGTTCGAAGGTGTCCTCCGTCCTAGAGATCTGGTCTGTGATCTAGGCTTAATAGCACATGTCCATCGCTCGACAAAGCTGTGTATATGTACGTACTGTGTAAATGTAAAACATAAATACGTATGCACACATATGTATGTATATATATATATATATATACATGTCTGTATATACATATACACATATGCTCGCCCCACAACTCCCTCACCAAAGATCCACGCATTCGTGGTTCATGCGCATGGGGAGCACGAAAACACTGCAATGCTCAAAAAATCCAAAAATTTCAAATCTCAAAACTCATGAAACGCTGCAATGCTCAAAAAATCCAAGAAAATCCAAAATCCTGGTATCTATGGCGTGGCCGGTGCCAGATACAGTGACACAAAAAATTTGGAATGTTTTAGGATTGCTGTGTTTTGTGAGTTTCAGGGTTGGAAGTTTTGGACTTTTTTGAGCATTACAGTGTTTTGTGAGGCTCTGGACACGAAACCTTGTAATGCTCAAACAACTCGAACATTATGGTATCTATGGGCAGGCCGTGCCAGATTCCACGAAAGCTTGGAAGTTTTGGAGTTTTTGAGCATTACAGGTTGGTTCGTGAGTTTTGCGTTTGGAATTTTAGAATTTTGTCGAACTTCACAGTCTTGTGTGAGGTTCAGGCCACGAGATACTGTAGTACTCAAAAGCTTCCAAAGTTCCCAATCTCAAAACTCACGAACCGCTGTAGCGCTCAACAAAATCACAAAGTTCCGAAATCATGATATCAATGGCGAGGCCGGTGCCAGATTCCACCACATGTCGTATGTTTTTGTTTTTTAGCGTTGCAGTGTTTGGTGAGTCTCAGGGTTGGGAATGTGGGCTTCTTTGATCATTACAGTGTTTTGTGAGGTTCAGGCCACGAAACACTGTAATTCTCAAAAGTCCAAAACCTTGGACATGTTCGCCACCCCCCGAGCCATAGATGAGTCATAGATGCAAGGATGTTTGAATTTCAATTTGTTTCAGCATCACAGTGTTGAGTGAGTTTCAGGGTTGGAGGGTTGGAAGTTTTGGAACCCTTTTGAGCATTGCAGTGTTTCGTGATGTCCAGGACAGGAAACACTGCATCACAAGATAAAAGGGAGCTCTCAGCAGGTTTCATTTCTGCCGACTGGAGGTAGTGACTGGAGCTGCGGGCCGCAGTCCCCAATCCTCGGTCTGTTTCAGCTTTTTGCTTGTACGGAATGTCGCGTGCCGCCCTCAGACGTAGTGGCAAAGCCTGTGTTCCTGTTATCCACAGCCTCCCCTGGGGCCCTAACGGTCCACTTTGCGTATAACCTGCTCACCGATTTGAGGAGGCAGGCGCGTCAGGCAGTTTCTGCCATTCGGGAGCTTGCTGTTCGTTTACTTCGTCTTGTATCCTCAATAAAAGAGCGATCGCTATGTAGCTGTTGTTTCCAGCTGTCATAGATCGTGTCACAAGACTAAGAGGAGTTTTCTTCGATAAAGTGCCATCTTGTTTGATTTTACAAGGACAAGGAGCCCCTGCCTTTTGATACGGATTACAGAGAGCCAGCCGTACTTAGTCCTGCTTCACGTTTGGAGCCCTCATATGCAAATAAATGAAATTATTTTCGCTCACAGAGGAGTTCTACCCATTCTTATGAAGCAAAGAACAGCTATTGGAGTTGGGATTAAATAGTGAATCGTGCTCGTGTATTCGAGTTCCTTTAACGGAAAAGAAATGAAAAGAGCTCTCTCTCCACTAGGCCCCGTCAGACACAAGCGCAAGCAGACGCTTCACGCGCAGCGATGGCCCTTCATGGGAGAGAATATAGCGTTTTTGTTAGAAGAGGACTGCTGTTGAATAAGACAAACTAAAACGCCATAAGACACAAAAGCACGATGTTTTTCAGTCGTATGCGCTCCGGCAATTTCAGCTTCTCCAACAAATAAACTATTATTAATCTGGGGCCGAGATTCGGTGCAGATTTAGACACATATCACGCCCGCGACACATAGCAGCACGGTTTGCATGTACAAAAGGAGAAAGATGCGGTTGCATCGGTATTTATGGCGCTTTCGGCATAGCTCAGTCTTGTACCAAGGTAGGGCTGTGTATAAGTGTGTATATACAGAGAGAGAGAGAGAGGGAGAGAGAGAGAGAGATATATATATATAAACATATATACATATATAGAGTACATACATACATACATACATACATACATACATACATACATACATACACGCCTACATACTTACATACATACATACATACATACATACATACATACATACATGTATAGGTATATACATATATATATATACACCTTTATATATATATACACTTGTGTATGCATGTATGTATATGTATGTATGCATGCAACGATCGCCACTTGTGCGACAAGCACGACAAGCAACATGGCCGCCGGACATGGCATATCCTATCCTATCGTCTTTCGACACTTAGGGCAAGGACCACGAGCCGTGCGGAGACGTCAGCCCATAATGAATCGTAATGTGATCTGAGGGTTGGACTGCCAGCCGTAAGTTAGCTGGAGCTTTCGGGAAAACAGACGGTGGACTGTGTATTTTTGCGAGTCCTCTGTCCAAAATGGAGTAGTGCATGGCAGGTGAACCCAGCGGTGAAGACCGTTTCAGCTGCGATGAAGGACGGCTTTCAATCTCCTCTCTCTGATTGCTCGATTGCAGCGGCGAAGCCATGTTCGGTCTTGAGAGCTGTAAAGGATTTGTGCGGCTATTGCATTTTGTTCTGTGTTGCAGCATGGCGCCGTGAAACTCGGATCCTGCCCCTGCTCTAGGCTACTGCCGCTAAGAATTCGCAAAGTGAACCGTTCCAGAGACTCCAGCGCAAGTCGTCTGGAGGATCCTGCGTGGCAGAAGTACATCGAGAAAGCCATCGAGGCGACCAACTCTGACACGCTGCTCTGCAGCAGGCAGCACTGGCTGTCGTCATCGCTGTGTTGGCAAGCAGCACTCTCACCGGCTTCAGTCTGCAGGTTCTGGTGCGGGGGTATTGAAGGAGCTTGCAAGGGAAATGGCTTCTCCATAGTCCTTGTCAGAGTCAGCTTGGCTCGCGAGGGACCCTGAGCTCATCCACGGCAACGAGACACTGAGGAATGTTTGCCAGAACAACAACTGGAAGATCCAGAAGTTTGCGATCGCTCCCCGGGATTTCTCGGTACAAACAGGCCGCGACGTTCCTGGACAGAGATGTCCCGTGCTTGCGAGACATCTGACTAGGAACGCGATGGGAGTTTCGCAGTAGTTGTAGCTTGAAAAGCTCCGAGTTGGTACGGCAGATGTGCAGACTGAAGCATGCGACAGGAGAGTTTACGCCAACAATGAAGCTGAAACGATCCGTGACTGAGGAGCAGAAGTTTGCTGTCGGAGTCTGGGCGATTGTAGTGACATTATTCTCAGATTCGTGGCTCAAATGAAGGAGATGTGGAAGGAGCTCATCGATCCATTGTACAGCTGAAGCCTCTCGGCATCGAAAGTTGGAAAACCGGAGGAAGGATGCCCAAGCCCGGCCCAAACCTGTCGAGCCATCTCGACATCACACTCGGAGCGTGCAGAGCCGGCGCCGGAGAGGTTTAGTGCTGCGGACTACCAAGGTGCAGGTGTTGCTGTCGTTCGGGCTGTCCCCTGCGATTGCAGCGAGACCCGTGCTCGGCAACGAAAGCCAAAAGCGCTCGCATCCACTCATATTGAGAACAAGCTTGTGAACAGGCTTGGAAAGAACCGCATGAGCCCCATCAGGTAGGGATCAGCATGTCAGTCTCGCTTGTGTTGTCTCGTGTTGTGTATCCGGGCTCAGAAACCCCGCTTCTGCATTGCCCGCTTTGACTCCTCTGTAAGCTTGCGAACACCACAGCTCATGCTGCTCTTACTGCAGCACGGCACAGCTGAATCAATCATGTACAGTGATTACATGAGGTCAGAAATTCATGTAGTGTCCGCTTTCTGAGTAGGATGCTGAGGAGATTATTGCTTGCACATTGCTCTCAATCTCTCTGTTGAGAGAAGGCTGACTCGAACAAGCAAGCATCCCACAGCATAGCAGCAGGTGAGTATTCCCACTGAGAGCATTTCAATCACTTGCTCGAAGCCTCGTCGGGAGATGTCCCAAGGTCAAAGCCGAAGACCCACATATTTATCCGCTTGGGTGCTTACACACCAAATGTCTTTACAAGCGGCAATGATGCTGACGCCCTCTCCGCCGCCCACTGCTGCAGTGCCCATACGAAGGCGTGTAGCACGACGAGATCATTTGACGTGATTCTGGCTAGCTTCTACATGGGTGCTTCTCTCGTTAGCGGCCGAAGTTCGCTCTCGGACGATGGTGCTCCAGAAATTAGTAATAGTACGTGTGTGTATGTGCGTGCGCGCGCGGGGCAGTGTGTGTGTGTGTGTGCGCGTGTGTCGCGGCATTTGCATGTGTAGTGGTACCCAACTTCAACCTACAACGCATGGACAATGCTCTGGAGTCCTACGGCTGTAAGTACTTGCAGTAGTTCATGATGCCGCGGTCGGCATTGTAGCCGGTGTGATTTCATCCGGAGATCGTGCCCACTGTTGTCTTGTGCTCGGACTGTTCTCATGGAAGCTTCCAGTCCCCATCACTCAGAATTTATTTCTTTGGAACTTAGTCAAGGCCCTTCGACATGCTTCTGCTTTTTTTCGCTCCGCAGAGCAAGAAGCCATCGAAGTCTTTGAACGAAGTTGTTACCGTAGCTACGCCGATATGTCATCGTGAAGAGAACTGCCAAACACCACGGGCCCTCTTTGTCGTTTGCATGTTCAGCTTCCATCTCTCTGTTGCAGGCCGTGCAGCGAGAGGCAGAAGGCTCGCTTTGGCATGCCTGAGCTGAGGAGCAGAAGAGTTCGTGGCCTCCGGGCTCTGTTGAACAAACTGTTGCTGCACGGAGCATGGGCCGAGGCATATCGAGGCATCACTTCCATAGCCATCAGAGTACCCATTCCGAGGTTAGTGCTGGCAGTGGCGCTTGTATTCTGAACGGTTTGGGGTCCTGACACTGTTCTTACAGCTGTTGTCGCCGAGTGATTGCTGACTGTAGCCCGAGCTGCTTTCGCTGTTGCTGCAGTCGGCCCACCGACCTGGCAGCCAGAGTCACGGCGCTGCCGGCCCAGCTTCATTTATTTGCGAGCCATCGTGCAAGCATCAGGAACACAAATGTGTTGCTTGCGTTCTCGCTCTGTTTGGCCTTTGTAGGTTGTTGTTTTTGATGAAAACGACTGGCTCTCCTGTGCTAGCTGCTAATCACGTGGCGAGGTTTGTCATAGGTGCCCGGACATTAAGTACAGTAGTTAGCTGGAGGCTAAACCAGCTCTGCTGCTACTTTCAGGTCAGAGCCTCAAGCGATGCGATTCGACATGCAAGCAGAATTCAGTTTCCCTTGCACCACAACGCAGATGAAGTGTCTGAATCGATTCTGTGGATTTCCTCGGGCACTGAACGGCTCAGGGAGGTCTTCGCGTCACTTTCTGCCGAATTGAACTTGAGGCTGTGTGCTGCGCTTTGGCCTGCGAGGAGGCACTTGCTGCAAAGGCCCTTTGCAAACCGCACGTTTGAAGTCACAGACTCCAGGGGGCTTGAGCCGCGGCTCGCAGCGGAACGGACTTCGTTCGTTCGGTCCCCAGTGTCATAGCAATGTCCACAACTGGCAGCAGCGGTCTGCAAGACGAGGCCTCGTGTTTCCAGGGCAGCTGGTGGACCTGTCGAGGAGTGCAGGGCATGGGGTGGCCACATCCCGAGTCTGCACTGCACTGATACTGAACCCAACACCCACCAAATCCCGAAAATGATTTGAGTCAGGGTTTGCATGCGAGACAACGTAGACGGAGACCAGAATGAATCGGAAAGGAGGGGGACACCATCGCGGTGGTCGGCGCTGGGGGCAATGCAATTCACCAAGACGCTACAGTTCACGACAAGCGACTGCGAATGTGGGTGAGCTGGGTAGCTGGTCACAGCAACGAAATTTCTGCTGCAAGGTAGAAGGTCGTAATTAGACAAAAAACTCTGCTTGCGTCCTTGCTCACGGCAAATTGCCCGCAGCTGCTTGGCTCTCAGCCACCAGTGCCACTTGGACCACATCTGGCCAAAAGGTGATTATGGCGGCCACATGTCTGCACAATCAGTGCGAGCGTTTGGCAAGCTCTGACGGACTCTAGCAGTTTGGTGAAGCTTAGACTCTTTTTGGTGAACCCATCTGACAACTGGGGTGTGCAGACGACAAGCCAAGACTCATCATCCGATCATCCGCAAGCAGCAGTATAGTTCGAAGCCCTGTCTTCTCAGAACCAACGGAGAAGACTTTTCTGACTTGCAAGGCTCCCACCTCGATGCAGGCTGCTGCCACAACAGACCCGAAGACGGACCCCAGACGGCTGGGGCTGAAACAGAGTTCAAGATTTTCAGCTTCCGGTGCTCCTGTGCCATGAGCAGAGCGATGCCATGTCTGTTCCGATTCGCATCGCCGAATCGCCAACTTCAGTGCCATCATGCTAGGGCCCAGGAACCTGCTCCTGCACCTGCCATTGCTGCATGCCAGGAGCTCAACCACTTTTGCCAGAGGTACTGCCAGCGGCCGGTCACCAAAGCCGAGCCATGGCTGGCAGGCAGTGCATACTGGAGGGCCGGATACTAACATGAGGGCTTCTACTCGTACGTGCATGTCTTTGTGAGAGTTTGCCCTGTGGAGCTCTGTGCCGGCCGAAAAGCTTCAGCTGATTACCGATGGCTTAAATTGTGCACATCCGCCTGTTTCCATGAAGTTTGTATGGGCCTAGTGTGTGAACCAAGGATATCTCGTACACCACGAACAAGTTCGGGAACCAGTGGCTCTCCTTTGAACCTTCTGTGTAAATGCTCCGAGCTGGCACCGCCTCCCGGGTATCCAGAAGTAGAGGTCCTGGGTGAGGATGCAAGCCATTTTCGCTTCATGGGTTGATGAAAAAGTGTTCGTAGTGACAACTACCTCAGATGGCCATGCCTAGCACATTGAGCTGTGATGCGGCTTCGTGGTATCCCATGTCCGTCCGCCTTTGCGTCTTGGGATTCGGCCACAGGGCTTGTCCGGCCTTCAAGCCTCAAGCAAGATCTGCTGTAGTCAGTTCAGGGGCACTGCCGTGAATCTGCAGCCAAGGTACCAAAGCATTGTAAAGCTGGATTGCATTCAGGCCGGCCTGCAGCATGCCGATTTTTTTTTCTGATCTGCAATCTGGAACATGCAGCCCTGCACGAGACAGAACGCCAACCTCACCTACGGGACCTGAGCCAAATCCATTGCCGTCCTGTCGTCAGGGTCAGGAGTACGCTGGCCACCTTTGTTTGAACCAGAAGGAGGCGGCATCTTGTCGGAAGAACAGCTGGGTGCTTATATGGGCTTTGGGCTTCCCCGGATTTGGCAAGAGCAAAGCATGGCGCGAGGGCTGCTCCGGAGTCCTCGGCCCTCTGTGTGACATCCCAGGAAAAGTCCGCAGCCGAGCAGGCAGTCATGGCTTTCCGGCCTCAGATGCTTGGAGGCAAAGGCTCCGGACAGAGGAAATAGATCTGTGCAAGGCCCAGGCCTTGCTTGGGCTCTTGGGCCGCAATCGTCTCCCTCGCCGTTCCATCAACATCTGCCAGAGCCCAGGATGGCGTCGCTGCCGCCGCCGGCAAGCAAGGCCCGGCTTCTACTTGCACGGAGACGCACGAAGAGATGAGTGCCCGCGTCCCGCCGCAGCTTTCTCAGACCCAGTCAGTGCTTGGAAGGATCCAAAGAAGAAGAAGGAGCGGCCGAGGCCGGGGGCAGAAGTCTAGGCAACCCGTGGTTGTTCAGGCTTCGTCTGGGTTCGAACCATTCTGAGCCTGCGAGTCTTTCCAGCGTCATCCAAGCTACGCAACGAAAGTGGCACAAGGCTCACGCCCGCTGAGCTTGCCGCTAAGAAGGCAAAGCAAGCCGAGGCTCCGGGTTGCGGAAGAGTTGCACCAGAGTAGCTTGCTTGGCACAGCGCGAGCGCGCGTTTTCGATGGATTGCGACATTGCCGACAGAAAGCATGACGTGAAGGGCCAAATCCTTACATAGCCTGAGCTTGCTTGCAGGAAGGCGACAACCCCGCGGTGACGCCGAAGACGCGCCTCGGGATGAACCATTCGCATGTGTGGTGGATGGAAAAACGGGTCAGTCCCCCTCGGCAGCTCACTGATCTGTGCGCTAACATACTAACTCTCTTAGCATTAGACAGCACACCTTCACGATCCATGCATGTTCTTCAAGTTCCTGCAATCCAATGGAGCCTGCCGCCAAGGAAGCTCAATGCATTGGTCGCCGACCCAGCTGCTCTCGGTGGCGAGTGGTCCCATTAGATCAACTATTAGATCATGGCCAACTGCATTCGGAGTTTCCTCAAAGTGTGTCGGCTCAGAGGGCATAGTCGGCTGCAAGATGGATTGCACACTTGACGAAGCCATACATCGCAACCCAACACAAGCGCAACCGGCTGAACCTAAGAAGCGTTTGGATACCCTGGCGTTTGAGACGTTGCGAGGTCATGAAGATTGCCAAGCGCTATCTTCAGAAGGGCGAGACCATCTACGAGACAAAAACATACGCCGGTGGGGGTCACCAGGCAGGGTGCCGGCGGAGCAAAGCTGTCTGCAGACAAATGTCCCGCCTACCAGGCAACAGTGCAGCTGAAGGCCCTGCCTGGCGATTGGGGCAGCCGCGTTTGGGCAGGCCATGTCAGCTCTACCAAACAGAAGGCCGGACCACAGCATGTCCCGGAAGTGGCGACCTGCTGCTGTCGCATGCTGTCGCATGCTGTTGCTGGCTAGCCGCTAGCCCTGTACAAGAGCCCGAAACAAGCAGCTTGCAGGCTGAGCAAAGTGCAGCAGAAATCGCACTAAAGCAGATCAGCGAGGCCTTACGGGAAACAGACATGCGAGCGTTCAGTTTTCTCACACAGATCACATTGGAGACAAAGGACACCGAGATGATGGCAGAGGCTGCTAAGCCCAAGGGCGCGGGGACCTGCACTTAGATTCCACGATCACGAACGGGCAGGTCAAACCTCTTAATCCTTTGGCGTTTTGATGTGAGTACTCGACGCAATTTGTTGTCTGGCTGCGCTCTCGGGTTCTTTCTAAGTTCTACGAAAATCTCAGCCTTGCAGGCCTGAAGGTGTAGAGATCAGCGAGCCGACATGCAGGATGATCTTCAGATTCTCCTGCTTTCTAGAGCACGTCAGATCTGAGGAAAGGCAAGGGCAAAGGCAAAGGAAAGGGCTTCGGCTTCATGTGGGGCCCCTGGGACTGGCAGATGATGCCGCTCGGCAGCACGGGGGCCCATGAGCCCACGATGAAATGGTTTGGGAGTTGGAGCTTCGCGACTGTCATTTTGCTAGGAACATAAGGATCAGGCCAGCTCAAGAGTGCGGATCCTGGAGACGTGCCTATGTGCTGTTTGGAGGTGGGGCGGAGGGCCTTCTGGTCCCAATCTCCCGCGAGAGCGGGTTACAGAGGAGCCGGTGAAGGGCGAGGTCGTGGAGTGGAAGGCGCGTGTGATCTCTTGAATGCCCTGTCTGCCAAGCCCCTAACATTTCTTTGGAGGAAAGCTTCGGCTGGCTGAAGTCCAGCGCTCCTATTGACCACCCCTCGGCAAAGCAGCGCGAGGGGAAGATCTACGCAAGCAAGAAGGCCGGCTAAGGAACAAGCACTGGCAGTTGGACATCTTGACTAGAGCCGCCATGCATAGTTCTTAGCTGCTACGGCTCGGAAAGCAGCTCGGCTGCAGGTCCAAAAACCATATCACAAGCATAGCCAACACATATCAAAACCATTCCTGGAGGAGGCTGGAGACGCATGAAAATCGTATCCAGACCGTTTCCATCGTATCCAAATCGTGCATTCCCAAAAAATCCATAAACGAATCATGAGCCAAACCATAAGAAAGCCGTAACATAATCATAAACCTGAAGAAATCATAGCGAAATCGTAAACTCGCGGATTTGTGAAACCATACCAAAACCAGAAGTTAATCGTAACAAATACTTGTTCCCGGAATCTGCTGTTTCCAACGACTCTTCGGGAGTCACAATCTTAGCATGTCTCTCAGCTTGCCAGGACGTTACGTCGGGAACAATCGAAACAGGGTCCAGAGTCAGCTTCCACGTGTACAAGGACTTCAGGGGCAGAGTACTCATAGCTCGAGCAAGGCGCTGGTACGAGCTTTGGGCTTCGGGGGGGTGTGCAGCAAGAGACAGCGCCCCAGATCACTCCAGCCTCTCAGTAGCTGAGATGCACGGAGGACGCCCAGGGCCTTGGAGCAGAAGAAGTACAGGTGCTGTGATTTCTTGGCCATAGACGTTCATAAGTTGCTGGGACCGTTTCAAGTTCAAGGGTTCAAGAGCTGCCTACTGGTAGCTTCCGGCACCCCTCCACAATCCTACATGAGATCTCTGCAACTCCTGGAGTACAACTCCGGATGTCAATGACAAGCTTACGCACATGGAGCCTTCTGCAACCCTTGAGCTGACTCTTGCCTTAGGAGGCAGAGCCCAATCAATGAGAAGAAGAAGGTTTTCAAAAGCCTCTTTGGAAGCGTCTGCGAGACATGATTCCAGCAGTAAGAATGACCAGCCGAAGAGTGCAGTATCATAGATCATCGATCTCTACTTCGCAGACGAATTGATTGAGAAATGCCCTGCCACGCACGACGCATGTCGCTCTTCGATGCGTACTCGTGCGAGGCAGCTGGGCATAGGAAAAACAGTCCGATTATGTCAAAGTTTTGCCTTTGGCAGATGCCCTAAGGGTCCAATCCCAAAAGTGGTCTGCAGCTCCAGGACCCGTGTGAACCTTTAGATTCAGGACTGCATGCTGTGGTACTTTGCTGTTATGCTTGACGTCGGACCCTTAGGGATAGTTTTGGGACGGCGAGTGTATTTGATCGAACAAACACGTCGAGAGACTGTCGTTGAGAGAACTGGGAGTCCGTCGACAGTGCCGATGATTCTGGAGCATGAGACCTGAAAAGAACGAGCCCTACACACAACTCGAAATGCAAATACTCGGGATGCTGCGGCACCGCCCAGTGCACTTACTTGTCGGTTCCCTCTCAAAAGACGCCAGCTTTGTGGGAAAGCACACCAATTCACTGATCCGAGAAGTCAGTGAGATTCCCGTGTTTGGGGTTTTTTGTAGACATAAGATAAGTTAGTTACTTGCATGTGTTGAGTGGATGCCCCAGACACGGAAGACGAAACGCACCTGAATGCTGAACGTAGTGCCTGATTTGCTATCCCGGCAGCTGTCAATACGTTCAACAAGTGGCTTGGTCACTGGTTGCCGCCAGCTGCTGCCCTGCTGATCGATTTGTGGGCGGTGAGAAGCTGCAGTTGTAAACTAGCGGAGGGTAAGCCACAGCAATGCAGGTTCCTGAGTCGTATTTTGCCTCCTGGGCGAGCGCCGCCACACACCATCGGCAGATGTGGTGGGTGACCAGGGTGAGTGCCGACCTTGTCCTTGGTCTTACATGATTCGGCAGCCATTTATTCAGTCACTGACCCATAGCGATGTTCACGAGCGTCGGCTTCATCCTGCTCCTATCCGTGTCAAGCCGGTGACGACACAGGTTCCCACGAGGTACGAGATGTCTTGCCAAAGACCTGCCAACAGTTGAAAAAGAACTAAGCCGGCCCCCCCCCCAAGAACATTGTCGGTACAGCTTGTGAAATAAGACTGCAAGCACAAGTGTCAGCCGAGTCGCGACAGAAGCAGCAGTCAGCATCGTGCCCAGCTTGCGGCAATACTGCACGGATGGTATTTACAACAGAATCGGTTGCGCCAAAATCAACAACAGCAAGAGCCACGCCGCCCTAACAAACACTTAACCTTGAACTTCATTCAGACCCAGCCAAGCTTGAGATGGGTGTGTTTGCATTCGAAAACCCGGACGAGCTGATGCTGCAGCTGGCGCCCGCAACAAGAAGGGCTTCAGACGGGGATGTATTTTGTCGAGCTAGTGTTGGGCTGATCCTTTGCCTCCTTCTAGTTCTCCTGCCATGCAATCTACTATCAATTCGACACATTGGTTGTCTGTTTGACTGCATTGTGCTGTTTGCTAGTTGCTTCGACCGCAACCGACTGCCTCATCCATACCGTCAACGGCACCCCTCCAGGTCAGAGAAAATTGAGAGGTCCAATCAGAGGCCCTCCCATCCTCTTCACATGCACATCAGCTTGCTCATGCTGAGGTGGGCCGACTCGTCACTCAGCGGCTCTGTAGCATGAACATGTTCCGAGTGCACGGAGTGCGCGACCCAGTCATTGAAAGTTGAACGAACCGGTACCCTCTTCAACGCACCGCAGCAGCACATGAACGAGGACCATTCGTAGCAACTTGACTCTCCTCCCAGGTTCTCCGGAACAAAGAGAATGCCAAATGGGTGGCTTCCTCAGCCTAGCGGCCTAGCTTTGCCCATGAGCCTCCAAGCGGAGCCTCCTACACACCTCGTTTGAGGCAGAAGGCATCTCGGGCCTCGAGCTTTTCGAGGCGGCCGTGGCCCCAGCGACTGAGCCGAGCCTGGGCTCACCAGCGGCACAGATACCCGAGCCGAGGACTCTCGAGACGCCCTCGCCCTCCAGGAACCGCTCAGCAAACGACCCGGCAAAGGGAGAATCTTATCGTCTGGGCTCATGCGGAGCCAGCACCAGCCGTGGATAGCGTCCACCGAGGTACTGCGAATGCAGTGGTGGGAGGCCCAGACGGAAAAGCCGTCGCCGTAGTGCCTCAAAGCTCGCACCTTCACAGTTGTTGCGAGTCACCACCTCAAAGTCCTGACTCGACACACTTTGCCTGAGGTTTGCACTACCGGCGTCCCGGCCTTCGGCATTGCGGGACAGCTGGAGCCTTTGGAACCTTCGTCAGACAGCGCTGGCAACGGTTACGGTCATGTAGCTTTGAGGCTCTGAGTCCCTGCGATGAGAGTGTTTCGTAGCAGCTGTTGTTATTGCATGCTAGCCTGCGTCATTAATGGCGTACCATCGACAGTCCTGTCAAGTAGTGTTCGGAAGTACATCCGAGCACAAGTGCGAGCGATCAGGAGGGTCTTGGATAGCATCGTGAAAGAACTAACGAGCCCTGACAAAACAGATGTGCTTCGTACATGGGTGTCCGGCCAAGTAGTATTCTTCATTCAGCCTGCCACCACGTTGATGAGCTTTCTAGAGAGGTGGGAAAAGGGCAATCATCCAGAATCCGTCCGGCTCCCAGCTGCCTGCTGGCAAGCACGACCCGCGTGGAGACTGACGAAACCCCCAATTGTTCCATAGATATCTGAGGTAGATCACTTCGGTGTGAAGAATGCCGCGCATGTTTGGCTTTGGCCTCGGCAGCCGTGGACGACATACCGAGCAAAACACCGGTTGTAGCCGCATGAGACATGCCGAATACCCTTCAATTGAACCGCAAATGAAAAGACGTGTTGAGCTTCAGTCCGTTATTCCCGATGCCTCTGCTCACTGGGTTTGCCGCCAACAGCAGAAGATGGCTGGGTTTCATTTGGATTTGCCGTGCAGGGAGCCGCCAGAATTGCTTCACAGAAACATGGACGATCCAGCAAACCTCGACAAACAAACGATGACAATGGTGACATCGTCCGGCAGAGCTTGCATGGAGCGCGTGACCAGGTCTGCGGCTTCGGGGTCCTGAGCTTAGCCACTCCTCGAAAGCCTGGTAGACTTTGCGTGCTGCACCTTTCGTATGCTTTTGACCAGGCTTGTAGGCATAGCAATCGTGCGCCGAGCGCCCTGAAGGCCGAAGCGTCGCTTTGTGCTGATGTCTTCGATAGGCCGGCCCCCTTGCCATTCCAGCGCGGGCATGTCGTGGGCCAGGGCTAAATTCCACCGTCTTGGTCTTTCAGCTGATGTCTCGTGGTCCTCTAGCTTAGAAAGTCAAAGTCTGGCGTCCAACGACTCTCCCTATGCCCCGGGTGCAGAGAGGGATAGACAGGGTAAGGATGGCTCCTCGGCCTCGCCCGGCCGTCTCCGCTAGCTTGAATGGCAGTACCTGCCGAAGACGCCAAGGGCTACTTTATCCTTCCACGGAGAAGAGAGGCTGTCCGTAGCGAGGTCAAACTGTTCGCCATGAATGTGTCGGAAAGAACTTTGGATAAGGTTTCAGCGGTCTGGTCAGAGTTTGGCGAGAGGTGTCGAGCTTTGGTGTGGGTTTCGGCCTTTGGGCCTTTCCGAAGATGATACAGCTCGTTCTGTTCAGTAGGGGGCAGCAGATGTTTTCCAGGTCCAGGGCCCGGGTTTCGGGATTCCGGGGCTGCAGCTCCATTTGATGTTGCGAACTTGCAACCCCTTCCAATGTACGTCGCCTTCGGTCAACGAGGGTTGAGTATGGCAGAGGTGTCACGCGGCGCGATGGGTTTCCGTACAGCATCCTCAACGGTGGCGGTGTTCTGGATGCGAAGGCAGGTGGTCGTGTGTAAGTTCGCATGCGGCCATGATCGAAAGGCGGCAATCTCAGCACAGCTACACGTCCTTATGGCCGAAAGCTGGAATCTGAACCATTGTTCGTAGCCAAGCAGGACGGCTCCGACTAGGTTCGCCGAGGGTGTTTTGATGGATCATTGATGACACTGCAAAACAACATTGTAATCTTTTCCTGAATTTTCTTGCGCCCTTTCCGCATGGCAGCCAGGCAAAGGGTGAAGCGGCCGTGCGCGAGCTTGCCCGGTGCTCGAGCTCATGTCCGGATATTTCAAGTGAGACATCGACTGTGGGGGGGTCCTGTTGGATGTACATGATGTACCGAGATGTAACAGCGAGTATTTCCCCTGCGGGATTTTTTCCTATCAAAAAACAATTCTACGATCAAAAAAATTTTCCCTTTGCCATAGAAGAGAAGAAGGCAGTGCTGAAGAAAAGAAGGCAGGAAGGAAGGGCGGGGAGAGATAGGGAGGAAGGAAGGAAGGAAGGAAAGAAGGAAGGAATGCAGGAAGGAAGGAAGGCAGGGAGGCAGACAGGAAGGAAGGAAGGAAGGAGGGAGGGAGGGAAGGAAGGAAGGAAGGAAGGAAGGCAGGAAGGAAAGAAGGAAGGAAGGCAACCAGCCAGACAGGAAGGAAGGCAGGAAGCAAGGAAGGACAGTGGGCAGCAAGGAAGGCAGGAACGCAGGCCGTGCGCGTACTTCCGAAGTCTGTTTTGGGGTTGCTGATATTCTACTACTACTATTATTACTACTACTACTACTACTACTACTAAGGGTTTCGGCTGGAGCTTGAGCTGTTGCGTAGCGCCTGGCACAGTGAGGGTTGATGGCTTTGCGTTGCTTACTGTTTGCTGGTGCGCTTATCTGCATGATGAATACAGGCAGCTCTGATTTTCCGACGGCCCAGCCGCGGGGGTCCCAATTCCCCCGAACTGCTTCCGGAAATGCTACTATACGAGAAGATGCTGGGCAGTTAAACCCGAGGGTTTGTGGCC